TCTACAGCTCTGAGCCAAGACTGTGTCTGAACCGAGGTTTAACGGATCCCCAACCACTTCAATCTGCAGATTGGAACCACGGCACGGTCACATTTGGATTCGTCCCTTTGCTTCCAGGTCACTCTGGGGCACAGGATGGCTCTTAAGATGGGTCAGAATCTCCTTGTGCATTTCAGGCAAAGTGCAGCGGCTGACCCAGAGGTTTGTCCTGGGCCCCCCTGACCCTGGCATCCTAGGGCAGTGTCTTAAGGAACTTGACTCAGGAGCTGTTTCATCCTGGCCTAGAGCCAGGGGCAGCTCGAGACGCCCGCGTGTCCCGCCAGCCACGCACGCCACTCTTATCTGCCACCTGCTGCTAGGGGCTGGTGGCAGGACGAGATAGAAGCCGGTCTCTGAAGCTGAGTGGTGGGAGGCGGGAGATGAAAGATTCCAGGGCCGATTCTCAGAAAGAGGGAGTGGGGCAGAGATGCAAAGCCTCTCTGGGGTGGGCGTGCCACTGCCATCTGTCCGCTCCGAGGAACTCACCTAACGCCAGTGCTGGTCCAGTGCCAGGTGCTTGGTCAGGCCCCTCACACGGGCCACCCCATGTGCTTTCACACCTGCTGCCCACATTATCTGTTTGGCCACTTTTTCCTTGCCCTCCTGTCACGGCTACCACAGGCCAGATATCCATGGCGGCACCTGCTACTGAATTCAAGCCTCTTCGCCTCGCTTTACAGTTGCAGAGCCCGAGGCCTGAAATGGGAATGAATCATCCCCCCAAATACAGGACGGGGAAAGACCTGCAAACTGCTCCCCGTGCGCCCTCCCCCAGCAGCCTCGTTCTCCTTAAAAGAATCCAAATGGAGCTGGAGAGATAGCACAGCGGGTAGGGCATTTGCCTTGCACACAGCCAACCCGGGTTCGATTCCCAGCATCCCATATGGTCCCCTGAGCACCGCCAGGGGTGATTCCTGAGTGCAGAGCCAGGAGTAACCCCTGTGCATCGCCAGGTGTGACCCAAAAAGCAAAAAAAAAAAAAAATACAACTTGGAGAGCTGGAGATAGTTCAGTAGGCAGGGCACTGGCCTTACAAGTGGCTGACCTAGGTTCAGTACCACATATGGTCCCGCAAATCCTGTCAGGAATGATCCCTGAGTATTGAGCCAGAAGTCCTGAGCACCATTGGGTGTGGCCCTGAAATAATTCCAAACCAACCTGGGCCAGTGAGAGTGTATAGCGGGCAAGGTACTTCCTAACATGTGCCCAATCCAGGTTTGATCCCCTGAGCACAGTTAGGCATGGCCCTCCCGCAAGAATAAACAACCGGGCTGGAGCGATAGTACAGCGGCCGACCCGGGTTCGATTCCCAGCATCCCATTTGGTCCTCTGAGCACTGCCAGGAGTAATTCCCAAGTGCATGAGCCAGGAGTGGTAACCCCTGTGCATCATCGGGTGTGACCCAAAAAGAAAAAAAAAAAACCCAAAAAAATAACCCACTCTCCCCACTGATCCACATGGAAAAAGCTGGAAGTACACCACTTTCAGAAAAAGTTAAACTCCTTGCCATTACTATAGACGTTAATCCCCAATTAATGTCTCCTGCCAGGAGTAATTCCTGAGCACCCAGGAATAAGCCCCAAGTACAGCCAAATGTGGCTCCCAAACAAACACTGATCTCTATTTAAAAAATAAAAAGTATCAAAGATAGATGCATTATGGAACTTAGGGAGGCAGCCTGAATGAGTCCAGCCAACAGCAAGACTGTTCTGGAATCTATAACAAGATGACATATGAATCATTTCAAAGAAAGTTATAATCCAATGCAGGAATCCAAATAAATTAAACAGGCTGATGGCCCTCCTAGGAATAAATCCTGACCCTCTGTCAACTTAATTTCCTAGCTAAATAAATGTTTCATTCTAAAAGTCTAATAAGGTATCGTGATCATTTTAATTTTCATTCCCTCCATCTATTCATCATTCTGCAGGGATAAGAAATGTCTTTCCTGATTTAAGGCCATTCTCCTCTAACCCGTGGGTGGCCTATTCCTTGGTTTGCTGCTTTTTCTAAAAAGTAAAATACAGGGTGAGGGCCAGAACAGTGGAGAAGGCAATCACCTGGTACGTGGCCCGCCTAGGTTCAATTCCTGGCACCCCACATGGCTGACCCCACAAGCCACAGGAGTGACCTGAGTGCAGAGTCTGGAGTAAGCCCTGAGCACCGCCAGGTATGGCTCCAAAACAGAAACACAACCCCACTGGTTGGGGAGAGTTCCCAGGGCTGGAGTGCAGATCTGACAAGTGCAGGACCTGGGTTCGATCCCTGGGAGAGTCCCACAAACTAAACACAAGGTTAGGTTTTTCTCAGATGGACCAATGAATTACATCTTCGTCTCATTTGATACTTTTTTTAGTGTTTGGATCACACCCAGCAGTGCTGGAGGACTCAACTGAGTGAGCCATGTATCAGGCAAGGGCCTCAGCCCCTATACTGTCTCTGCAGTCCTGTTTCTATCTGGGGGCCTAAGGGCTGCTCCTGGAGACACCTGGTCAGGGGACGGGTGGTTTAGCACCAGGGTCTGAGGACACACTGCTGCTCGGGCCCTGCTCTGCTGGATTCTACCAGCTCCCCCACACCACCAGGTACCCGGTGGGACCATGTGGTGTGGAGGATGGAACCCGGATCTTTGTTTTGCTTTGGGAGGCATATTTCCAGCAACTCAATTCACGCCATCATGGTAAAGCATGTACCCAGCCACACAGGTGCAGCTCCAAGATAGTCCTGCTACCCAGTTCTGTTTGTCTGGGGGTTCCATCTGGCAGCACTCAGGGTTTACCCCTGGTTCTATGCTTAGGGGTCATTTCCACGTAGTGCTGGGCATCAAACAAAGACTGGCCATGTGCGAGCAAAATGCCCTCCCTGCTGTAGTCTCTCCCTGGCATCCCCCAGCAATTCTTTTATAAGTCAGTTAATGAATTCTTGAAAGTGTATCTTTTTTCTTTTTGAGTCACACCCGGCAATGTACAGGGGTTACTCCTGGCTCTTCACTCAGGAATTACTCGTGGAGGTGCTCGGGGGGATCATCTGGGAAGCTGGGAATTGAACGCGGGTCGGCCACGTGCAAGGCAAACGCGCTACCCGCTGTGCTATCGCTCCAGCCCCAAAAGTGTATCTTTCTGTGTTTAACAGTTGATGAATACATTTCACACGTCTTGATTATGTTAACAGATAACTTTTTTTTTTGGGCTTTTTTGGGTCACACCTGGCAATGCTCAGGAATTACTCCTGGAGGTGCTCGGAGAACCATATGGGATGCTGGGGAATCAAAACCAGGTCCGGCTGTGTGCAGGGCAAATGTCCTCCCCGCTGCACTACCATTCTGGAGGTGGTAACATTTTACAGAGGAGCTTAGATGCTGGTCCCTTGTTGGGCTTAGAGCTAGATCCAGTTAAATTCTAACCCCTAGACTAATACATTTTTGGTGGTGCTGTGGGGCTCAAACCCAGGGCCCCAAATGGACGGTGCATGCACTCTTCCACAAGCCACATCCCTTGCCCGGCCAGCCCAGGTCCATTTTTGGCTTTTTGGGGCATATCCAGTGTTGCTCAGGGATTAATCCTGGTGTTGCTCGGGGACCACGTGGGATGCTCGGGATCAAACCCAAGCCGGCCATGTGCAAGGCAAATGCACTCCCTGCTGTACTAGCACTCTGGGCCCCAGTCCCAGGTCTTGGTGAAATTTTTCCATAGCCAGATGGGCTAAGCAAAACCTGTATCCTTGGCGCCCTCTGGTGGCAGACTGGTCTTCACAGCCTCACTTCTTAGTCAGATAAGCAGGCACAGACGCCAACAGGATAATAAACATGGCACATTTTCCTGGACCATCTTTACTTGAAGTTTTTCTTTTTTTTATGGCAAAAAAAAAGTGGGAAATGCAAAACATCTTTATATTAAAACAAATGCAGATAATATTGAATAGAATATAAAATTTACATTTCTGAGACAAATTAAGAGACAGCACAGACATTTCAAGTTGCTCTTGGGCTTCAGGCCAAGTGGATTCCTGTGCCCTAGGGGAGGGAGCAGGGCCGGGCTTGCTCTGCGAATGTTGGGGTGCTGCTGCCTTGATAGTGGAGTTGGAGAAGCAGCGAATAAATGCTCATTCATTTGGCAACGTCGAGGGGATTCTTACTGAGCTAAGTGGAATCACAAACTTTCTCATTCGCAAGCGTCTGAGCGTGCTTGTTGACGTCACGCTTCGGCAGGCTCTCTCTCCTTTCAGGGTGTTCTAGCAAGCCTGACCAGAGAGGCCAGAGCTGGAAGGGCCTCACCAGCGCCGAAGCCACAAATCTCCCAAGGGCAGGTAGCAGGAGGGACGAAAATCCAACAAGTCACCTTCTGCCGCCACAACAACTGACAAACCAAAGGAAGAAACGGGAGAAGCACAGATCATGGAGGATGAGAGCTGTGTGGGGACAGTGGGCCTGGTGTTCAGTGAAGGGGCTCCCGCTGCGGGCTGCCCTGCAAGACTCATCACACAGCTCTTCTCTCCGCTGAGTCTCTGTCGTTGTGTTGTGGTGGCGGCAGCATTTTACTATTTGGCGGTTATAGACTGAAGGTGTGGATGTCTCACGGAGAAGATTTAGGGTGATTTCTATGGTGATCGGGCACTGTGTTGTACCAGGTGCGGGAAGGGTGAGGGCAAGGGTTAATTGGATGTGTTGACCTGCAGGCTGAGGGCAGATTCCGATGGACGATGGACGCTGCTGTTTCTACGTCTGCTAAAGACGAGGTCATTCACGATCTCTCAGCTGTACTTGTACCCTGAAGTCTTACTGAGACAAGAGATACAAGACAACCTGCCTCGACCTTTAGGAAAATACAACTTTCCCCTTTCTTTCTCTTTTAGTAAAATAAAGAGAGCAAAAAGTGTTCCATTTCAGAATAACAAAGGGGATCATCAGTGGTCAATTCAGGTTGTTCTGGGAAAATAACAAAAAAAGGCAGACACCAAACACCTCCATTTTCCCAAGATTAAATGATTATTAAAAAAGCGCGCCACACTGTATAGAAATCAACATTCTCTCCCATAATTCTGTGCATCTGGGACTACAGAAATGTCACCGGCCCTGCCCCACATCTTCAAATTAACATTCTCAGGTCACAACAATACGTCTTCCCAAAGGGAACCTTCCGGAAAAACAAGCTATTTCCTCGGCTCATATTTCCCTGGAGAAAAACAGAAAACACAAATAAAACGGAGATGAAGAGGAGCGCGCCTGAATCCAAACGGACGGGCTGTGGGGAGACATAGCCCAGCCGGGCAGCTGGGGCGCTCAGCCACGGCAGGAGTTTCCTTCCTGCTTTAGCAACTATTCTGTTTCTCCTGTTCACACAGTTTTGGTTTGGGACCACACCAGGCAATACTGGGAGCTACTCTCAGCTCTGCTTGGCTTGGGGGGCCACGGGGTGAGGGGAATCTAATGGGGACTCATGCTGGGCAGTACTCAGGCCCTGAGACAGTCATTCTGTGATTGTTTACACAGACAACCAGAGGGGATTCTGGTGGCTCACAAACTGGAAGGGTTTGCATGAGCCAACAGACGTAAAGCGCTGAGCACAGTGCTAGTTTGTACTGTCTTTAAAAGTAGAGCAGCCAGAAGTCTGCGAGGACTTCTGTGGGGACTGACCTGGGCTTCTGGCCGTCAAAGAGCAGACTGAAGCCAGCCTGCACCTGAGCCCCCACCTCATACTCAGCTCTGTAACCCTGGACTAGGTGGCAGGTGTAACTTAATGATTCTGTGTGAGTGGGATGAGACAGGCTTCCACATGGAGAGCTCTCAGCATGTGGCCGAGCAGCCGCCGCCTAGGTCGGTGTCCCAGTTAGGAATCAGGAAGAAAGGTCAGAGCAAAGGCACAGCAATGGGAGTGTTTGGTATCCAGGTGCAAAACCCCAGCATCTCATATCATTTCCTGAGCACGGTCAGTAGTAATCCCTTAATGCAGAGCCAGGAGTAACTTCTGAGCATCACCGGGTATGGTCCCCAAAACAAAACAAAAAGAAAGCGGGGAAGAAAGGCCAACTTCCCTTGAAGTGGGGACAGAGTTTTGTGGAACACAAGGAAACGAAGAATGTCTGAGTGAGGTGCACAGAGCAACCCCCAGTGCGGGGGCAGGGATTCAGATGGGCTGTGGACACGCAGGCTGGGCAGCTGAGTGCTCAGGCCCGTGCAGCGGAGTCCAGCCATGAACACCATCCTCTCTCAACTGTGCCACCAGTGCAATCACACGGTCACAAAAAGCTTCTTCAGACTTATCCTTCTATAGGTCCTTAAGACAAGCTCCCCCTCAGAAAGCAGCTTGCAGCCGGTCATTTCCATGGCCCTGCTCTCTCGGGCCGACTCAGAGCGGCCGTGTGCTGGACAGAACGGGAGTTCAGTTAGCACAGAGCTAGTACTGATCTTTAAAAGTAGAGCAGCCAGAAGTCTGTTATTTTGGCGCCTTAATCAAGAAGCTTTAGGTGCAGATGACCACTGCACCACGAAATAAACAATAAACTATCAAGTCTGAGAGAGTTCGAGGGGGTTGGACGCAGGCTTCACTCACAGGACAGCCGGCTACGATCCTTGGCACTGCACAGTGCGAGCACTGCCCAAAAACCCAAACAATAAATCCAAAACAAAGGAGCCTGACTAAAAGCATCTGCTGACAAGACCCCAGGAGAGATCATCTCTGTTAATATAGCCACAAACACAAACTTCTCCGTTTCCTCTCAATCTCACTAAGGATAATACCTGGCTACAGCAGAAGATTGAGGTGTTCTAAAAAACATGAGGACAGCAAAATATCATGTAAAATCAAAATCACACTCTTCTCCATCAGGATCCTGGCTTCTGAACCAGGTTCTATTTGTAATTTGATTTTTGGTTGTTTTTATTTTTGATCCACCCCGGTTGTGCTCAGTTCTTACTCCTGGCTCTAGGCTCAGAGACTACTCCTAGCAGGGCTCAGGGACCATAACAGAGATCTGATCCAGGTCTGGTGTGAGCAGGCCTTATCTGCTTTACTATCTTTCTGTCCCCCTATTTGTAATGTGAATGTACATGATCATGCAAATGCCTTCTACATCACATCACTTCTTGTTTTCCCCGCCTGTTGTATTTCTAAATAGCACATTAACTCCCTCTGTCAGAATGACACAGAGAAATGCTGCAAAGGGTACATTAATGGTTAGCTAGAGGAGGAGGCAGAGTTAATGTAGGACTGAAAAGCCATTAAGAAAAACAAAACAGGAAACTGGGAGAGCAGAGGCTGGGGGGGGGTGGGGGAAGGAGACGGAAAGAGAAATACCTCTTTCTGCAGTGAGCACCAGCAATCGATCCAAGAAGTGTATATATGGGAGTAAGGAGGGCCTCCACCAACAAGCCTGGAAGACAGAACACACGAGCAGCTCGACAAACCAGTACCAATAAAATGTTCTCAAGAGCCAAAAAAATCTTTGTCAAAAGCGCCTGCTATCTAGAAGATTCCCTCAGAGACTATTTTATGCCAGTGGAACAAAGCACACTGGAGCAGGGAGAAGCACAAGCAACCCCCAGGGCAGTCCTCCCTCATACTCAGGTTTTGACCAAGAGTTACTATGTGCTGACCCAAATGAATACCCCATAATCACCACGTAAGAAACTGTTAGGAATCACAACACGTTCCACTTTTCTCTTTTTTTTGCTTTTTGGGTCATACCCGGTGTTGCACAGGGGTTACTCCTGGCTCACGCACTCAGGAATTCCTCCTGGCAGTGCTCGGGGGATCATATGGGATGCTGGGAACTGAACCCGGGTAGGCCGCATGCAAGGCAAACGCCCTACTCATTGTCTAGTGCTCCAGCCCTTTGAACTATCTCTCCAGACCCCCGATGGAACAGAATTCTGAGTTAAACAAGAGTAAAATTTCTGTCCAACTTCACAGCATTTTTCACCTTGAAGTTGAAAATCAATACCATCTACCTACTCCATCAACCAAGTAATAGAGTGAACAGTTAAGAATGTTTTTTTTTTGCATGCATCTAATTTCCTCTGTCTCTATTTGCAGAGGTGTGTGTGGCGGGGGGTCCTGATGATTCCCAGTGGTGTGCTGGGGCCCCTAGGTACCAGGTATCGAACCTAGGGCCTCTTTCCTACTTGAACCTCAACTCCATCCCCTACTTGCACTTGAAGCCAATGAAGCAGACTTTCCCCAAAGACGATGCCAGTGAAGACATAAATAGACTCTCCTCCAACCCTTGACAACTTTTAATGAAAGAACTATGTAGGGTGTGGAGATCAAACCCAGGTCAGCTGCATGCAAGGCACATGCCTTACCCCCTATCTCCCTGGCCCTTATGGTTTGGAACTATTTGAGAAATGTTCATTACACCCTTCTCTGGCCCAGAAAAGGATACAAGACGGCTGCTTTTAACATACACTGATGCTTACTGTAGGGGACATCAAGAAATAAAAAATCTAGAAACAGCAGCAACTGTACTTCTCCCTTTGTCCCATTTTTAGCTGTTGGACTATACCCTCTAATGCTCAGCTCCCGGAGGGACCTTTTGGTGGGGCCCCAGCCTCCTGCAGTGAGGCCCCACTCAGCCCCTGGAGCTACTGTTCCACTAGCAACTGCTCTGCCTGTCCAGCTTATGGGCAGCCCAGCATGGGGAAGCCACGCACTTACCCACAGTTGTTGACGGCCATGATGTTAGAGACGAGCACAAATGGATAGGTCAGCATGCTGGCGAAAAACTGCACAGGGCAACGAGAGAGAGGAGAGTAATTAGCTCACCCTTCCTTTATTCTCTTCCTTCTCTCTTTGAAGGTCTTTGCTTTCTCAGTATATCTGCAAAGACTGCATTATACTCTCCCCGCTTTGGTTTTTGGGCTACACCCAGCAATTCTCAAGGATTAATCCACATGTGGTGCTGGGGAATGAACCAGTGAAGGTTCAATTTGTGCAATTCATATTGGTGCATGGCATGACCGTGAACCCCTGCACTGACCCTCCTGCCCAACAGTGGGTGCTTTAAATGGGGCACAGTGCGGTGGTGGGGAAGGAAGGTAGAGTGTGTGTGTGTGTGTGTGTGTGTGTGTGTGTGTGTGTGTGTGTGTATGACACAGACACACAGAAACTAGCCAAGTTTAAGAGAAGAAAAAAACCCACAACACGATTCTTAGGAGATTAAGACTTAATAACTCACTCCTGTGACAGCTTGTGAATAACTCTTCATTTCATTCATGGTTGACACCTAAGGCAGGAGAAAATCTTAATGAGAACAAGAAAGTAAATTAAGCTGCCGTCACAGATAATCGAACCCAATGACATCAATACATCCTAGCTCTGTACAGCATCACTTTGTCTGACAGCCTGGAAAGAGTCTTGAGGATGAAAACATAAACCATTGAATATGAACATAAAAAGGCAGAGGTCAAAAATCAGCTTGATTCAACACTAATACACAAGTTCCTATTAGAGTAAAATGGTTCGGAATCGAATGTAATAGTTTCAGGATTTAAAAAACAAAAAGGAAATGCAATTGTTAAGCTCCCGCAATGTCCTAGGAGTCTCAATCCCTGGGGAGCTCTCCGAGGGCTGCCTGGGATGGGCCACAGCCACTCCAAGCAGCTCAGTCTCGCCGCCGTGCCTGCGGGGGTGCTCTCTTTCCCACCAGGCTACGGGCTGCTTCGAGGAAAGGCTCATTCTCCAGACTTCCCAGGCTAAGGTTTCTAAAACGCTCAATACAGGAGTGCCCTGGACACTTCAGCTCAGATAGCAGAGCCCGGACACACTAGAAAACCGTCCTGCTTCCCACTATCTTCTAAAACTACAGATCAACGAGATGTGATTGCCATGCAGTGCTGAGCAGGGTGGCACTGGGCTCACCTGTCACACTTTAGGGCACTTCCTAGATGCCACTCTCCATCATCAATAGTTCCGGTCACCCCACTGTCCCCATCACACCTGACAGAAACGTTTCACTACAGACTAGCCCTGGCACATCTGTGTGAACTGCCTCTGTGATGGGGGAAGAGAACAGAGCAGCCCCCACGCATTCCTCAAGGGCACGACCTACCCCACTGTCCAGTGCATAGGTATTGACGAGGTAGGCCAGCGAGTTACAGAGCCACAAAGAAATGATGTCACCTAGGAGGCGAGGAACAAGACCCCTACATGAAGAAACAAGAAAAATAAGAACCAAGAAATATAATCAGTGAAAAGAAAATTCACTACTATCAATACTTTGTAGGCAATCAGAACTTTCTAATGTTCGAAGGAAGGAAAAGGATACGAATACTAAAATCTAGTCTTCCCTTCGTAACTAGTACCTTCTAAACTGAGCCTTCATAACTAGTTCCTTACTCTAAACCTAGCCTTGGTAACTAATGCTTTTATTCTAAACCTAGCCCTCGTAACCATTACCTTCATTCTACACCTAGCCTTTGTAACTAGTGCCTTCATTCTAAACCTAGCCTTCACAATTAGTTGCCTTTATTCTAAACCTCGCCCTTGTAAGAAGCTCCCTCATCCTATTCAATTATACTTGCAGCTCATTTTGGGTTACACCTTGCAGTGCTCAGGGGTTTATTCCTAGCTCTGTGCTCAGGTATCACTCCCGGCAGGGCTGGGTGGTTGTGGGAGCTTTTGGGATGCTAAGGCTCGAACCTAGGCTGGTTCGAGCCTTTGCTAAGGCTCGAACCTAGGCTGGTTCGAGCCTTAGCATCCCAAGATAAGCACCCTCCTTGCTGTACTATCTCCCTGGCCCTCCTTCATTTCATCTTTAAAATACAAGTGGATCCATCCTCTAAGTTAAGGTCAATGGCTCACCCCACTACGAGTAAGCATAAGCCAGCAGCCCCAAATATGCTTCCTCGGGAGAAAATATTAAATCTGACTATTGTTTGAAATCAAGAGTTCGGTTTGAAACCAAATGTGGCAGGGCCAAGATGAGATAACCCGAGAATGGCCTAACCCCACTACAGATGAGACCCCAGAAACAGGAGTCCCTGGCCTGTTCCAGGGTCCCGTGCCAGGGACACATGGCAGCACAACAGCTCCTGAGGCTCCGAGAGCAGGAAGAGCTCTGCTGCCCCCTGCCCAGAACTTTGATTCTCAGTGTCTGGGCCACATGTGGTAGTACTAGCTCAGGCTCACTCCTGGTGGTGCCAGAAGTAAAACCAGGTTCTGCAACATACAAGCTAAGCACCCTAACCCTGCGATAAAACTCTCTCTGGCCCCTCTACTTCCAGAGCTTTGGGAGACCCTGAAAATACAAAGAGCCATTCAGTTACAACAGCTCTTGTGAACAGAAGGAGTGCAGTATTCTTAAGTTTGTCCAAAGTTGAGTTAAGGAAACGAAAGTGAAAACGTCTTTTGTTAAGAGCAAAACACATATCAATGGTTTCCCCACTTTTCAAGGACTTCTTTTTTGCCTTTTATTCACTGGACATAAGTGGGCCCGGCACAAACTTGGACTGTATCTATTTGTTTAAAAACAAATAAATAGCATCTTCTTTCCAATGCATTAGATGTGCAGGAGCAAGCGTTCAGGATCTTCATAAGTGAACTGACATTAGAGGGACCTAATCCAGGCTAACACGAAGTTAGTTCAGAGAAGACATTTTCCCCAGGGATTAAAATGCCGACACACACTGGCACACGCCACCCACGGCTCACACTTAACTGTTGTATAATGAACACAAATCACAGCCTCAATGTTGATGTGTGAAACAGGGTCAAGTCCTTAATTCCATACTGGCTTTGGTCTCACACAAATCAGTAATTACTTACGCAAAAAATCCCAGGATGCCCTCCTCCTGATAGATGGTGACTATGGAGTCATAAAGTCCACTGGGGGTAGCAAGAAGAAAAGAAAAAACACATTAAGGTTCCTTTTGTTTTTTTGGGCCACACCTGTACGTGCTCAGGGCTTACTCCTGCCTTATCTGCTGTTCTACCTCTCGCGGCCCACAAATATATGGAAGTAAACAAATTAATGTTCAGTGGTCACTCAACTTTCTGCAGTGCCAGATATCGAACCCAGGCCCTCCCAAGGTGGAGGCGCACACTGTCCCTCTGAGCCACCGCCTTGGCCCCCAGTGGTCACTGCTGACAGTCAGATGGACACTGCCGGCTCAGGGCTCTCTCACCGAACCTGAGTGTGGAGGCAGGCATAATGCAGTCACCTGGAATCTGGGCGGATGTGCTGTTAGGGGTCCTACAACCTGCTCACTTCCAGGTAGGCTCATCCGTCCCCTCCTATGCCACCAGCCTTTGTGTGTGCAGGGAGGGAGGCTGAGGGAGGCTCATCCGTGTCTGGATAAAGCAGCTGCATGCAGGTATTTGCGTTGAAATAGCTTGCTCAGAATACTTGGGATCCAAAACACTTACCAGTATTTTGATTCTCGGCCAATGAATTGTACCATCGATCTCAGAGTGATCACTGCAGGACACAGAGAAAAGATTTTTAAAATTATGTCAAGATCAATTTTGATAGCCCTAAAAAAAGAAAAAATTTCTCCTAAAGATACTCTGCTATTGGGATAAAGTGAATAAAAACCCAAACCAAGCAAGCAAGCAAGCAAACCGAACCATTGAGGCCAGGCACCTTAGTGATAGCCCTAGCAACCTACCTAGAGGAAAGGCAAGTAACCAGATCTCAGCGACCCACTGCCAACATACCGTGGAAGGGATGGGTGATGAGGGTAGCAGCAGATCGAGCCATCATCTCTCGAGTGGTCTAGAAATAATCAACACACATTTCTGAAACCTCAGTAAGGGATACTCAAAAAGTCCTGTGAGGAGCAAATGAGTAGACTTGGATCACTTGCCTGGAGGTGGGATAACTGGGATGTGACCTTCTCCTCCACCACACTATCTGACCTGATTTCAGGGATATCACTTGGCTGAGAGATAAAGCTCCCAGCTTTATCTGGTATCCAAAGATGGAAAACAAAAGCAGGACTGGACAGACAGCTCAGCTGCGTGGTTTCCATGAGGGAGATGCTGGTTCAGTCTCCAGCAACTTGCGGTCCCTCAAACACCAAGCAGGCAGGCACCAAGTGAGGGGTAGGTTGAGCACTGTCCCGGGTGGTCCCAATCAGAAAGCAAAAAGGTAAGTAAATAGGAAGAGTCACCAGCAAACAGTCAGGAAACTGGGATAAGCGCCGAGGCCCTCTTTGGATGATTAAGTTGTCTCCCAGCATGAGCGAGCCTGGAACTCGAGAGCACTGCTCCGCAAATGTCAAGCTGCGTGGCATCTGCAGCAACATCTCAGGGAGAGCAGAATCACTCTGACTTGTTTCCCAACCACAACCGCAGGATCTTCAGAGCTGCCTTGTTTTTGGTTTTAGCGCCACATCAAGCAGTGTTCAAGGCTGACTCCTGGCTCTGTGTTCAGGGGATGGAGCCCAGGTAGGCCACGTGCAGGGTAAGTGGCCACCAGCTACACTATCTCTCCTGCGCTAGAGAGCTTTATTTATCATAGTTTATCTTCTCTATCATAGCTTATCTTATCTAGTCCAGGACCCTGCAGAGAGAGTAGTAATGGAAGTAAACTACTTGTTTAAAAAAGTAAAATTCTTGGAGGTAAAGGTCTTGTCATTCCTGTTTGCTTTTAATTATTATCTTTGGTCACTTGGTTAAAGACATCCCTCACCTACTCAAGTAGAACAGGGATGGGCTAATTGAAGTTAAGGAAATACAAAATGCACATTAACAAATGAAGCTTATTATAAACTCACTTCATAAAAGAGACACAGAAAACAACTTGATGCTTAGTCCATTTGTTTGGAACAGACATTTTAGGATGCTGCTTGACTGGGAAATTGCTATATAATCCAGCAGACAAGGTAAACACTAAGAAATAAAATAGTAGGGGCCTTTACGGGACGGGGGTGGTGCTGGCCCTTGATCTCTCCTGCCCCAACAAGACCTGAGTCGCTACCCACGAACGGTCCCTCTGGCTACTGATCAAGCTGCTTAAGGGCCATGATCCCAGAGACACACAAGTAAAACTCGGAACCCAGTGGCTTTTGGCAGAAATCCCTCCACATTTAATTATTAAAATTGCAGAATTCCAAAATCATATGCTAGTTATAATCAGCAACAGAAAACAAATTGTCTAATGTTGCCTTTTCAGCAGGTCTGAGTGTTGGGGGAAAATCCCAAATAATAATGGTGGGTCTGGTATCAAAATATTGAACATAACCAAAGTAGAGAGAGAGTAATGTGGAAATCATATGCCACACAGGTAGGGGGAGGGTGTGGAATGGGGAGGGATACTGGGGTTTCTGGTGGTGGAAAATGTGCACTGGTGAAGGGACTGGTGTCTCATCACTGTATGACTGAGACTTAAACCTGAGAGCTTTTTAACTGTTCTCAAGGTGATTCAATAAATAAATCATTAAAAAAAAAAGTAGGGGTCAGAGCAATAGTTCAGTGGGCGGGGCACTTGTCTTGCACATAGCTGACTTGAAATGAATCCCGGGGACCCCTTACGGTTCCCCTGAGCTCACCAAGAGTAAATCCTGAGTTCAGAACCAGGAGTAAGCCCTGAGCGTCAATGGGCATCGCTCAAAAGCAAACAAAGAGAAATAAAATCGTCCTGAAATCCTTAAGCATGAAACACCAATGGCAGAAGAGAATGAGTGTGAGCAGGAAATGAATGATGAGGACACCCTGGAATCAGAAAGTGTGAAACTGCTTCTGCAGCTATAATGTACACATGAAGGACTGCCTGAAACTTCCACACTCTCTGCTGGAGATATTCACAGCCACATGAGACATTCAGTGGAAATCCTCCTTCTCTAGGGTGCCTGGGATCAAATCTAGGACCTCACACAGGCAGGACAAGTGCTCGACCACTGAGTTGCCTCCCTGGCTGAAAACTCTTCCATTTCAAAGATGAAATAAATGGCAAATTTAGTTTATCAACAGCAAGCAGTGCTTCTTTGGTCCTATTCCAACCCCCCTGCCCCCATTTTTTGGTGGCGGTGGTAGTGAGGTTTGTCCGTACCCAGTTGTGCTCAGGGATTGGGTGACCACATCGTACCAGAGACAGAATCTGAGTCGGATGTAGGCAAGGCAATCACCTTAGCCACTGTATTATTTTTCCAGTCCCTGCCCATTTTGTTTTACATGTAGTAAAGCCCATGTCAAGCTGAAGTAATTTTATTTGGAGCAGACACTCAACACAGGCCCGGCAATTCCAATTCTGCCACAGCTGCACTGCAAACACCGAAAAACCACAAGACATAATTCATCTCTTACCTCCTTGACAATTCGGTCAAAGGAAGCTGGGACTTCTTTCTGTACATTTCCCGGTCCTAACTCCTAGAAATCAAAATTAAACACAGATGTTCATGATTTTGTCTTAAAATGCCAGGGATTGGACCCAGAGTGTCACATACAATATAAAACCAAAAAAAAAATTTTTTTTAAAGTTTTTCATTTTTTTCCCCCAAATCAGGGGGAAGGTAGATGTGCCGTGCACACGTCACCTCAATCCAAGTGCTTTATTGCTGAGCTACATCCCAGATACTTGATGGTTTTGTTTTGTTTTCTGGGCCACACCCAGCAGTGCTCAGAGCTTAAGCCCAGCTCTGCACCCAGCTATCACTCCTTACAGGGCTTAAGGGACCACAAGCAGTTGTTGCAAAGCAAGCAAACTACCTGCGATACTATCTCCCTGGCCCCCTACCCAGTGGCTCTACATGTAAGTATTCAGACTGTGGCTACCCTGTATGCCATCCTCACTGAGATCAAAAGAATGATACTGGTCCTTCTGCTAGAGACCAAAGAACAGTAATAACTTCAAGGGAAATGGCCCAGCATAAACGCTGGTTCAACTTACCTCAGTCTTTTCAGGCTCCTGGCAGAACTGCTATAAGGGAAAAGAAAAACAGGAAAGAGATTAGGCTATCTAGGTATCAATGAGAGAGGATATAAAATGAAATCAACTGGTAGAATGTAAACTGATTTTTTAATTTTTGGCTGCAAAAATTAAGTTTAATTTAAATTTTGGCAGCAAATCTCCAATTAACTTCTACTGGACGCTTATAAGCCAGAGATAAGTATTTGTAAGATGATTCTGCTAAGCTTAAGTACTGGTTGCTGGAGGTACATGCGAATGACCACAAAAACGCCTTCTCCAGAAGAGAGAGCTGGCGTGTGGTTTGGCATGGGGACGGGGAGCGGTTAAGGAATGGGCCAGGAGGGCCTGCTAAATGGCTGCAGCACATGCCTGGCACGCGTTCACGGGAGCCCGAGTTCAGTCCCAGTATTCTGACTCGATCCTGCCAGCACTTAGGGCTGCAGCGGCTCAACAGCTGGGGTGCTCTGCACATGGGAGGCCCAGGTTTCATCCCTGCATTAGATGGCAGCAACCCCCAAACACCACCAGGAGTCAAAACAGACTAGCATGGCAGAGTCAAGTGTTGCCAGAACAGCCCCCGACACCCTGAGCATGGCTTGGAAGTCCCCCAAAAGGAATAGGGGAGGGCCAGATAGAGATCTGTCATGCCTAAGGGACCCGAGTTTGATCCCAGACCCTGGAGCCCCAGCCAAGCCTCACTGCCTAGAGTGGGTGGCCAGGTGAGGACCATGAGGAGTGACCGACCCCCAGGCCTCCCAAACCCTCCTTCGGAAAGCCCCTCCAATACTAAAGAGTAAGGGGATCAGAGTGGAAAATGGAACAGAACCCAGCCACACTATTTACTGAATTCACTAAATTACTCAAGTTTCATAGAAGTTGGCAAAAACTCAGCTACAGGCTCTTAACCCATGGACAAGGCAGGACCAAACTGGAATGAGGGCAGGACTTTCTCACTACTCCAGAGAACAAGAGGACGGTGTCAAGTAAGAAGAGCTGAAATTGTCTCTGGTGTCTTGGGCTTTGCTAACGACAATGGGTGTCCTGGCTCCTCTAGAGAAGAGAGCATGAATACCACAAAGGCCCAGACTACACTGGAAGAGGAAATATCTGTGGGCTATTTTAGAAACAGAAGATGGGCTTAGTGAATGAAATAACCAGCCAATTATGCTCCTAATCACACCAGATTTAAAGAACAGACAGCAGGGCTTGAGGGCCCTCATCTAAGAGGCTCAAGCGGAAGGTCCTCATGCAAGAGGCCTGGACCCGAGGCTGGAGCTGTTGGGAGCAACCCCCCAATGCTGAGCTGGGGGCGACCCCAAACACTCCTGGGTGTGACACCCAAATAAACCAAGTGAGGCCGGAGTGATAGAACAGCACATAGGGTGTTTGCCTTGACTGCGGCTGACTGGCTGACCCGGGTTCAATTGTGGTATCCCATCTGGTCCCCTGAGCACCACCAGGAATAATCCCTAAGCATTGCTGGGTGTGACCCAAAAAGCCAAAACAAACAAACAAAAAAACCAAACTATAACAAAAAAACCCCAAACCCAAGAAAATAGCTTTCAAAGAGAACAGACAAAAGTTTCTTTGTAAAAAGAATTTTTTTTTTGGTGGGAGGGGGTGGTGGTGGATTGTAGGGATTTGAACCAGGGTTGGCGGAAAACATGGCAAGCTCCATAACCCCAGTACTCTCTCCAGTCCTGGGAACTGTGTGGGTTTTGTTTTCCTTCAATTTTGGGGTCACACTCAGCAATGCACAGGAGTTCCTTTCTGGACTCAGGAATCATTCCAGCAATGCTCAGGGGACCATGTGGGATGCCAGGAATTGAACCTGGTTGGCCACATGGAAAGCAAGCACCTTACCTGCTATGCTCTCTCCAGCTCCAGAATTATGTTTGTTGTTGTTTTTTTTTAAATTACAGGCAAGCAAATAGACATCAAGATTAACCAAAATGACATTTTGGAGTTCTTTAAAATTAAATTCCCAGTGCTGGAGCAATAATTTGGTGAGTAGGTCATTTGCCTTGCACATGTCTGGCCCAGGTCCAATCCTCAGCATCTCATATTGTTCCCTGAGCACTGCCAGGAGTAATTCCTGAGTGCAAAGTCAGGAGTAACCCCTGAGCAAAGCCAGATGTGACCCCAAAAGACAAAAATTAAAAAAATTAAATTTGAGGTTGTGGAGCACTGCTAAATCCAAGGACCAAACTGTCAGGTTGAGTTCCAGAAGTGAAAAATGGAAGACTGTTTCATTAAAAAACAAAACAAATTAATTTAAACACTGTGGTTCACCAAGTTGTTCACAATACAGTTGTTAACGCACTCAATGTTCCAACACCAATCCCACTACCCAGAGTGACCCTTCCACCACCATGTCCCCATTTTCCCAACCACCCCCTATGACTACCCCCTTAGAAGGCACGAAATAATTTATTTGATATTGCTAAGCATTATTTCAATGATTATTCGGTCTGGACTGGAGCTGGCCTGCTAGACTATCAGACTCAGTTAGCACGCAGTGCTGTTTCTTACAGAGGATCAAGTCTAGGGCCGCAAAAGGGCCACGCCTTATAACCTTGGCCTTGCATGCCCTACTTTGTTTGTTTTGGGGCCACATCAGGTGGTGCTCGGGAATCCTCCTCCTGGAGGATTCTGGTAAACACGTGGGGTACGGGGACCAAACCCAGGTTGGTCTCGTGCCAGGCAAGTGCCCTCCCTGCTGCACTGTTGCTCTAGTCCCTGATAGTTTTTGAGAATTACAGCAGAGGACCCTGGTGCCAGCCAGAGACAGAACAATGATCTAAAAAACCTATTACTTTAATATTTCCAACCATACTCGCCTGAACAACCTCATAAGTACTGTCCTAAATGGTACTTAATTTGTATTCACAACACCTCTATAAATACAACAAAAGGAAACTCTATTTGACCTACATTATAATAGGTGCAACTGAGAAGTCAGTAAAATAAAAATTATAAACTCTAGCATTAAACAAAGTTCTAGGGGGCTGAGGCAATAGCACAGCGGGTAGGTCGTTTGCCTTGCACACGGCCAACCTGGGTTCGATTCCCAGCATCCCATATGGTCCCCTGAGTACCGCTAGGAGTGATTCCTGAGTGTAGAGCCAGGAGTAACCCCTGTGCATCATCGGTGTGACTCAAAAAGCAAAAAAAAAAAAAAAAAAAAAAGTTTTAAACCAGTAAAAGGATTACTAAGAAATACGTGTAACCTTGATGTAAATAAGTGTAACTTTGGTGTCTTGTTTCTATCATATTTTTTGAGGGGTGTTGGGTTTTGGGCTACACCCAGCAATGCACAGGGGTCACTCCTGGCTGTGCTCAAGAGTGACCACTTGTGGCGCTTGGGGGACCACATAAGGTGCTGGGGATTCAAAATAAGGACAAGTACTACCTCTCTGGTGCCTCTTTACTTTCTGTGTGTTTTGGGGGGTGGAGACGCTGTGGGGCACAACACTAGGCCTGTCACATGTGTGGCATGCACGTGGCCCCTCAAACTAACTCTCCAACTCCTGACATGTTAAAAAAGTTTGCAGAACATCTCAAACCAGAGTACAGATCTAAGTTGTTTGTGTTGCATGCAGTCGGACTAGTTGATCCCCAACACTGCATAGAGTTCACTGAGAACCTCCTGAAGTGATCCCTGAACAAAGAGCCCGGAGTAAGCCCCGAAAACCATTGGATGTGGCCTCAAAATCAACCAACTAAACAGCCGGCGCACACACACACACACACACGCACAAAAATAAAACCCAGCAAGCAAAATCCCAGCAAAACAAATCCACAGATAGAATGGAAGCTCCATTCATCACTTCTCTGTCCTCAAGGACCAGGATTTTAGTTAGTTATTGGACACAGAGCTGTTTTCTTGTGTGTGTTTAGGTCACATCTAGTGGCGCTCTGGGCTTACTGATAGCTCTGTGCTCAGTGATCACTTCTGATCATCCCTCACAGTCATTTTCTTTTTTAAAAAAGTATTTTATTAGCTCTGGTTTCTCTTCAGATCGCATAAATCTTTCTCCTTCTACTAAAGATTTCTATGGCGAGGAACAATTTGGAGTTGTAGATCAATTTTTTGAGGCCTTGTGTTTGGGGAAAAAAAGTGTTTCATTAAGGCACTGTGTTTTCCAGAGCTATAACTGAGTTTCAAGGCAGTCATTCTCTTAAGGCTTTCAGATTTCTGTTGTTTAAGAAACTCACAGAAACAGTGCACAAAATACAAGTTAACAATGGAATAATCAGCAATATAGTATGGTGTGTAAGGCACTTGCCATGCAAACTGACAACCTGGGTTCAATACCTTGCACCATGTATGGTTCCCTGAGCACTGTCAGAAGTGATCTCTGAGTACAGAGCCAGAAGCACTGCTATGTGTGACCCAAAAACAAAACATAAAAGCAAGTATCTAGGGCAAGGCATTACTCCAGAATCGCAGAACCAACCTTTTCCCTCTCTCCACATACATAATCACTATTCTGTCTTTAATTCTTTTTTCAAAAAGAAAAGTCTATAATAAAACATTTTACTATAGTAACACAAAAAATGAGGAAAGTAACCAGGACAAAAACATGTGTTTGTTTTTTGATTTTCTGGGCTACACCTGCCAATGTTCAGGTACTCCTGGCTCTGCACTGAGCAATCACTCCTGGCAGTGTTCAGGGGACTATATGAAATGCTGGGGATCGAACTCAGATCTGCTGCATGTACTAGTAACCCACTGTACTATCACTCTGGCCTCAACATGTTCTGATAAGATTTCTTCAAGTGAAATGAGTTATATAAGGTATCAAATAACCACACAATTTCTGCTCAGAAGGACAAGTTCAGAGGACAGTCTTGCAGCTCAGAAATCAATGACTTCATTATGCACAAATTTCTCATTTGCCAGGAAAGAACTGAGAATGGATATTTCAAGAAAGACTCCTCGGGGAAGATGGGACAAGATTAAAAATTAAGTGCTTGGAATTGCTCGTGATCATTATATCAAAGTGTATACAAATGAACCTGAGAACGGGCAGATACACAGATTTTTCTCTTACCTGTAAAACTTGCCCATGGACCACAGTCCCCAGGACTCCTGAACACAGCCTGGGAGTTAAGCCTGTGAAGAGCCCACGCTTCCCATCGATGCGCACAATGTGCTGAGCTGGAAACACAAGCCAGAGGGTTAGGTTCTAGTCAGAGTGAAAATGATTATATGGAAATTTCATGCTTTTGACATGTTTTCTCCAGTTAGCAGCACCCCCAAAGACACTCACCATAAGAGAAGAGACCGGGAAGCTGATAAACTTGCCGCCCAAAAATATTTCGTCCTATTGTTGGAGGAAGAGGTTCATATCCCACCTTTAAAAACAAGACATGAAGGTAAGACCTAAATACTGGCAGTACTTTGTACCAATGCTAAGCAGGAGTCCGGTAGCACACTGGCTCTAATACCTTTTTAGTTTTGTTTTTGAGGCACACCCAGTGATGCTCAGGACTTTCTCCTGATTCTGCACTCAGGAAATCACTCCTTGCAAGGTTCAAGGGGCCATATAGTTGCTGGAGATTGAACCCAGGTTAGCTAAGTGCAAGGCAAGCGCCTTACCTATTATTCCAGCCCTCAAATGTCTTGAATAAAGAATAAAACTGGAGTTACATCTTTCAAAATATTTTTTTACTGGGGCCACATTTAGTAATTTTCGGAGGGCCATGCAGGGCCTCACTAATGTCAGGCATGTGCTCTACCATGTTAGCTTCCACCTAGGCCATAATGCTGTAATTTTTTGCGGGGGTGTGTTAGGCCACACCTGATGGCCTGATGGTGTTTAGGGCTTACTCCTAGCTCTGTGCTCAAAGATCACTCCTGGCAATGGTCCAGGGACTATATTCTGTACTGGGAAGCACCTTAACCCCTGTACTATCTCTGGCCCCTAAAATTACAATTTTTTTGCTTTTTTTGGGGATCATACCCAGCGATGCTCAGGAGTTACTCCTGGCTTTGCACTCAGGAATTACTCCTGGTGGTGCTTGGGGAACTATATGGAATGCCGGGGATTGAACCCAGGTCAGCTGCGTGCAAGGCAAATACCCTACCCACTGTACTATCGCTCTGGGCCCTAAAATTACAATTTTTACCAACAGCTAAAAACACATTTTTCAAGGTGATACGAAGTGTAATCCTTGTCGTTTTTTCATGCTGGTTTCAATAAACTTCAAGGTTCCTTCTGTTCCAAATTTCATGAGGCAAACTATATAGCTGAGACCCACTACTATCAAACTGAAAAATGGAACAAGGGAACGTTGGTGCTAAGTTCCAGTTTATTAAGAAGACTCAAAATAACTTGTCGAGAAAATCCAGCATATTTTAACTACTCAGGCAAATGGAGAAGGCATTCGCAAAGCCGGCATCAACTTCACACCGGGCTGGCAAGATGAAAGACTCAAACGCAAAGGCAGATTTTATCTGTATAACTCACTTGGGGAATAATTACAAACCAAGTCCATCTTCAAGGCACAGATATCATTAACAAGTCAACAAAGGCCGTTTTAGAGTTAATGATCAACATTATGTCTATATAATATACTGAGGATTTCTAGTGCTAACGGAATGTTCATGAGAACAAACACCCGAAAATGAACACGACTTGGGACTCTCTATTGCTATGATCCTGTTGTGAGTTTTCTTCCCCCCCTTTCCCTGGCAGTGCTGGAGATGGAACCCAGGTCCTCCTCCAGGCAAGGCAAGCACTGCACTGCTCAGAGGCTGAATTTGTCCAACTGAGGTTGGATGTTCTTGTCTGAACTCCCTGGAAGTGCTGCTACGCAACTGTTTTCAAAACTAAACATTTGGAATTTCACTAAGTTATCTGGCAAGATGTAGAGGTTGTGAAACCAGGGGTAAGGATATTCAAGCTCGAGGAGCTGGAGGAAGAGCTCGACGGACTGGAGCTTTGCATGCAGGAGGTATCTGATGCCCACCGCCCAGGGCACTCACCCCACCCGTAGAGGGCAGCCTCTCGGAGCATGGCTGGGTGTGTGTGATCCATAAACAACAAAAAAGTCCTTTAGGGGCCTTTTGTTTGTGTTTTGCTTTTGGCGTCATATCCAGCAATGCTCATGGGTTACTCTTGGTTCTGCACTCAGGAATTACTCCTGGTGGTGCTCCCGGGAAACGGAGGCCAGGGATGGAACCTGGGTTGGCCACGTGCAAGGCAAATGCCCTACCCGCTGTACTATGGCCCTGGCCCACATTCAAGTTTCTGAGGCAAGGAACCTTGAATGTCACTTGAAAACCCTCTTTCCAGGACAAGTACTAACTTTGTGGTGTCATACCTGACTGTATGCCTCACACACGACTTTGTCCCCAAAGGGGCCAATTCCTGTTTAAGACAAGCACCATTTCAAAGTTTTGGACTCTGGTGGAAATCTAACAATTGCTTGATGACAGTCCTTCACAGAAATAATCTGAACCCACGGGAGTGAGGAAAGAGGGGTGCCCGGAGGGCAACTGGCAACCCTGATTGCCTCGCATGAGGGACAGGAAGGTAGACAGTGGGGAAAGGAGCGGGCAGGATTCCCGGACACTGCTCCCCGACCCTGGCCCCAGAGCCCGGCATTGTGAAATGACATCGACTCTCAATAGAAATGTGAGGAGAAAAAGGGGTGGGGAAAAAAAAAGAGTGCCACGCCCATTCCAGTGACACTGAGAGGCAACTGACATGCCACCTGGCAGGGTTATCATCTGGGATATGCTGGCCTGGGAATCTAAAATTGCTTCTAAGGGGCTGGAGCAATAGCACAGCGGGGAGGGCGTTTGCCTTGCACGCGGCCAACCCGGGTTCGATTCCCAGCATTCCATAGGGTCCCCCAAGCAGTGCCGGGAGTAATTCCTGAGTGCACGAGCCAGGAGTGAGCCCTGAGCGTCGCCAGGTGTGACCCAAAAAGGAAAAAAAAAAAAAAAAAGCCGGAGTAGCTGCTGAGCACTACTGGATAGAACTGAAAAAAAAAAAAAATTAAAATCGCTTCTAAGGCTTATTTGACAGGAGATGGGAGAGTGGCAACACGGGACGTTAAACTCGCCAAGCCCCACCGCCAGCTCCCACAGACGGGGTGGTCAGCGTCCACGGCCCCGCCCGCGGCCCCCCACTGCCCGAGGGTCCCTCATCCGCGGCCTCGGGCAATCGGACCCGGCAGCAAACCCACTCTGCACGCTCACTTCTCAATGAGCTCCTTTGTGCTTATCTGGGTATCCGGCGCTCGAATCTTGGCACAGAATGCCAAGCGGTAAACGGTGGCACCTCAGGAGAAAAAAAAAACCCACAAAAAAAAACCCCTGAAACAAACAAACAAACAAAAAAAGGGGAAAAAAAAATCAATAAACAGGAGGGGAAAAAAAAGGCTCTGTGGGGGCGGGAGAGGATCCGAGAACGCCCAGGTCGGGCGCAGAGGCTGGGGCGGCTCTCGGGGGCGGGCGGGGGGCAACGGGCCAGGGTCAGGCTCGGGGCAGGAGACACAAAGTTCAGCGGGAGCCGCGGGGCCCGGGCGCGGCGGCAGTTGGGGAGGCCGCGGACACCGGGCGCGGAGCCTGCGGGGCCTGCGGGGCGGGCGGCCCGGGAGCCGTCGCCGCAGCCGTCGCCGTCGCGTCTCTGGAGAGGCCCCGACCGGCCCCGGCCTCGTCGCTGGCCCGGCGCGGCGGTGGCGGCGGCTCCGGGGGGCCCCGCCCGACGGGGAACGACCAGGGCGACGCCGCCTACCTGGATGAGCACCTTCACGTACATGAGCGGCTGGGACAGGATGGTGAGACCGGAGCCCAGGAGCACCTGACTGGCCGCGTCCGCCATGATGGCACCCGCGGACGGACGGACAGACAGACCGAGCCACCGAGCCGCCGAGCCGCTCGCAGGTCACGTGCCAGGGCCGCCGGCTCCACTGGCCCGCCCGCGGCGCGCGCGCAGCTGCGCATGCTCGCAGCCGCGTGCCCCGCCCCATACAGGCTCCGCCCCCCGGCCCCTCCCCGCCCAGAGAAACGGCAGCGGCGCGCGAGCCGGCGCGGGCGCAAGGGGCGGGGCCGGAGGGCCGGGGGCGGGGTGGACGGACCGGAGAGAGCGCGCATGCGTCTGGCATTGGGCTGCGTGCCCACCACTGGCGGCGGTGGGTTTCCGTGCGCTTGCGCACGCCGGAAGCGCCCGGAAGAAGGGGAATGGGTGTGGCTTTGTGTGTGTGTGTGTGTGTGTGTGTGTGTGTGTGTGTGTGTGTGTGTGTGTGTCTGTGTGTCTCTGAGTGTCTGTGTCTGTGTGTTTGTGTCCCTGTGTGTCTGTATGTGTGTCCCTGTGTGTCCCTGTGTGTGTGTGTGTGTGTGTGTGTGTGTGTGTGTGACCCTGACATCCCAGGCAAGGTCAGAGGAATAAAAAGAATAGAAAAGGATTCTTCCTTTTGCGCACGGACAACCAGCGGTCTGAAGGGTGTTTGGCGTCAGAACCATTAATAGTAGGAAAATTAAGGAGCCTGCAACGTGCACAGTGGTAGAGCACCGACCTCGCGTTCGTGAGGCTCTAGATTTGATCAGTGTTGCTGCCGGGACCTAAAATGGTTTGGACAGCGACTGGATGTGACTGCTACCTAATAATCCATGTGCAGGTTCACCACTGACGCACACACTCGTTCGTTTCATTGTAACTGGTTTAGAGGTGCTGTGACCTCTGCCTAAATTTTCCTCTTATTCTAAATAAACAGATGAACCAAAGAAAAGCCTGGGGACCAGGTTTACGGCGGGAGTGGTAGATCTTTGCAAGAGAGGGGCAGTAGGTTAGATTCCTGCATGCAGCTCATGTTCAGTCTATAGTCTACTTCCAGCATGCTTCTCCCATCCTGGGAGGATCCTCCCAACACACTTTGTTTGGTGCTCCCTTCTCTACCAGGAGGTAGCTTTAGGGACTCCTGTGCATGCTTTACATGGCAGAGGCTCCTCATGATTCCCTCCTAGCAATGTTCCAGGAATAGCTCCTGAGCACTGCAGGATATGTCCCCAAAACCAAAAATAAAGAGGAAAAACAAAAGCAATAAACATAAAATAAATATACTTGCCCCTTACTTCCTGTCACATCATCCCGTAGCACTTAACATTGCTGGAAAGTACTTTTTTACTATTTCTCAGCCACACTAGGCAATGCTCAGGGCTTATTCCTGGCTCTAAACACAGGAATCACTTCTGACAGTGCTCAGGGGGATCCAGGACTGAACCTGGGGCTGATTTGCACAAGATATACCCTTGCCCATGTCAAATGCCCTACTTATTGTACTATTGCTCCAGCCTTTGAAATTACTTATTTACCTGCTTGCTCCTCCATGTGGAATCTAAATAAATTCAAGAGCATTTGTTCACTTATAAACTCAGAGCCCAGCACATGTTGGGTGCTCAATATTGGTTTGCTTCCAAAAATGAAAACTGAATATTAATTGCTTCAGTGCTCACTAGGCTATTTGCTATTAGAGGCAAAAAGTAAAAGGCATTTGCTTTACTGTTTCAGTACTCAACTTATGTGCTTCCTATCAAACAACACTTAGTGACTGAACATTTTGACACAGTGAACGAAGATGAACTGAGAGAAAACTGAATCTGATCACTATTATCGTCCTGTACTCACTCAGCACAGAGGCTTGTTGATATGGACGACAATATATAGAGTGGGAAAGAGAGGGGTGCAGAGATAGTCCAGGGATTAAAATGCTTGCCTTGTATGTGGTCAATCCCATTTCAATTCCTGGTACCAGATATGGTCCCCTGAGCACCTCTGGATATAATCAAATACCACACCCCTTTACACACACACACACACACACACACACAGCAGCAGGAAAGAAGAAACAAGATAGATACAGGATTGCCATGTGCCAGTTGTCCAGACTGTAGCTGTATAATGCCAGGGTGTCATTCACTTTAGTCTGAGTAGTGTTCCCTAATGTAATTCAATACTTGGTGACCTTATGATGGATTTTATTTGATGAGAAATAAGGAAGTCAAAAGGACCAGCAAAATTAATTGATTTTTTTCTTTGGCTTTTTGGGTTACACTTGGTGATGCTCAGGGTTTACTCCTGGCTCTGTACTCAGGAATCACTCCTGGTGGTACTCAGGGAACCATATGGGATGCTAGAGACTGAATCCGGGCCAATAATATTCAATGGAAACACCCTAACCCACTCGCTGCTCTATTGCTCTGGTCCCACAACAAAATCGATTGAGAAGGAAAACAAGTAGAATAAAATATTGTCACTAAACTTAACATTTTGGAAAGGAAGAGGATGGTTAGGAATATCAAAAGCTGGGTCTGGAGCAATAGTAGCAGGTAGGGCCCTTGCCTTACATGTGGCCAATCTAGGTTCTATCCCCAGCATTCCATATAGCCCCCCAGCACCACCAGGAGTAATTCCCGAGTCCAGAACCGGGAGTAAACCCTGAGCATCGCTGGGTGTGACCCAAAAGCAAAATAAAAAGTTGTCAAAGGGGCCAGAGAGAGCCCTCAATAAACTGAACACAGACTTTGCATGCGGATCTTGTGTGATCCCCAGCATCACATGGTCCTGCCTGGAGTGAGCCCTGAGCATCACCACATGTGGCCCCAAAACAAAAGCTTATAATAATAATTGTTCCTCGGAACATGCGATAATAATAATAATAATAATAATAATAATAACAATAATAATAAAGCTGAGAGGGAGAAATGAATCTCTTTCCAGACTGGGAGGCAGTCTGACTTAGGAGAGAGATCAAAGGTCCTGCCACTCCTCCCCTCCCCCCAGAACTCTCCTGTTCTGGTCCTGCAACCCCCACCCTCCTGTTCTGATTCTACCACCTGCTACTTGATGATCTCAAATAAGCACTTTGACCCCTTCATGCTGAAGTTTGAGTAAATAAGACTCAACTTTCACCAGCTCTTGGTTGTAAATCTGCAGAGCATCTTATCTCTCCTTTCCCTACTCCTTGCTACTTTTTTCTCCATAGCCTTTGGCACCTTAAAAAGTATTTATCATCATTATTATTATTGTTATTATTATTATTATCTTTTATTGCCGTCGCGGTAGCATGCTTATAATGGCGTTGTTTCAGGTTTCTACAGCCTTCCTGTGTGTCTCCTAATCCAAAGTGCCATGGATCCTCCTCCATGTCCTCATGTCACTTTGGGGCCACTCTTTCTTCTCCACCTCGATCCCCTCCCACACTCTTGATAACCTCAGTTCTGTGATCAAAGTCCAAGGTTTTTGTTAACATTAGATACTTTCCGTTCCCCTAATTTGTTTCTTTATCTATATACTTTGGGGTGTGTGTGGGGGGGCACACCTGGCAGTGTTCAGGGGCCACTCCTGGCTTAGTGCTCAGGGATTGTTCCCTGTGGTGCTCAGGGGACCATGCGGTGCCAGGGACAGACCCCGGGGCTCCAGTGTGCCCTGCATTCAGTGCATTGAGCTTCTGCTTCAACCCCAAGCGTTTTTAAAGAGAACCGAGAGAGTATAAAGTATAGGCCACTGGGTGGGGAGTCAGAATGCAAAAAACACAGCTTTTATTTGCTTTTTGTTTGTTTTATAAGTGGGGGGCACACAATGTTATGCTCAGGGCTTATTCGCAGCTCTACACTCAGGGATCACTCCTGGAAGTGCTCATGGGACTATATGGGATTGAGCTGGGTTGGCTGGCTGCAAAGGAAGCATCCTACCCAGTGTACTGCCTCGCCTTCCCTTATTGCATTGTGACCTTGGGGTCTCAAGCTCTTCAGACTTGTGTTTTGCCTCTGACGTGTGCAGGTGGGGATCTCTGAGCCTGTGAGGCCACTTCAGCCAAAGACGAGTCCTGCATCTGTAACCTGCATGGACCGACAGCCAGGAGGCCGTCTTGCTCCCTTCCCTTGACCCCCCCCCCCCCTCCAGCCCTCGGTCTCCCTCCTTTCTAGACAGAGTTATCTCCCTCTGTTTCCAGCTTGCTCTCTCCCTCTTATTTTTCTCATTTTCTGGACTCTTTTTTTTTTTTCCCCGCTCGCACTTTCTGCCCCATGGGACACAAATCCTGGTTCAAATGGGCTTGCATTATGTAGAATATCTTTTTTTTTCTTTTGTGGGTCACACCCAGCTATGCTCAGGGGTTACTCCTGCCTCTGCACTCAGGAATTACTCCTGGTGGTACTTGGGGGACCATATGGGATGCCGGGGATCGAACCCAGGTCAGCTGTGTGCAAGGCAAACACCCTACCCGGTGTACTCTGGCCCTATGTAGAATATCTTTACAAGAAAGCTTATGAGGCCTGAGTCCAGGCTATCTTGAGCGGGACTAGTTTGTGACTTGAGGATAGTATGGAACTGCGTTTTTTGGCAGGGACGCAGTCCAGTGATTAAGGCATGTACCTTAGCATGAGCCCAAGCCAGGTTCAAGCCCCAGTGGGACAGCCCCCATCACACAGTCATCTCCCTGGCTCCCAGTCACACACTTTTCTCACAGTTCTGAAAGGGCAAAAGGTGGAGGCTTCGCTCATTTCTCAGCTCCCAGCTGCAAAGTCTGTGAACACTGTGTGGGCCCCAGTGATTCTAGATGGAGGCTCTGGGGGTGAAGGCACTTCCAGGCTCCTGCAGCTGTCGACTGAATTTAAACTCAGGTGTACATGATGATGGGACTAAAGGTTCCTGCTTCCTGGCTGGCTTGAGGCCAGGGATGGCTCTCAGCTTCCAAAGGTCCTTGTCACTCTGGTCAGGAGTGGGAACCTTCCACCAGCCCCAGGCCTGCTGGGCTGGGCCGACTCCTGTTACACTTCAGGATCTCAGCCAATTCACGATTCTTTTTCTCCCTCTTCTCCCTTACTTCTGATGAAATCTGTTGAGTTGCTCTTTTGCTTTGAATGTTTCATATGTTCGCAGCAGGTCTAGTGGATAATCCACAATAATCAGTCATTTAAAACATTTTTATGGGGCTGGCCTGATAGCACC